TTGGAATTGAATGTGAAAGATTATATCGTTACGAACTGCCACAAAACTGTGCTGGGACACACATGACACAGGTCACCTACCCCCTTTCCTCGATGGTGGCGTCCACCTCGATCTCGCTGATCTGGACCTCGGATTCGCGGCGCTTCGACGACTTCTTGACCTTTTTCGTGGTCTTCTTCACTTCCGTTTGCACGGTTTGCATAATTTCCACGTCCGCCATCGCGCCCGCTATCTCGCTCGCTCTAATGACCGACTGAACTTTCTATAATTATTGTATTCTATGGGTTTTTCTTTGTATCTGGGGGTGTCTGTATGGTTGTGTTTTGTAGTGTATTTTCGATCGATTTCGGATGTCCAGAACGGTATGAACTTTGCCGAGTCGGGATCTCAACTGGCGCAGCGGTTTCCGAAAATGTTTTTCAAAACGCCTGCTGCACCGCTTTCAGTCCGCTCTGTATCTAGTTTCGCCACCGCCAAGTGTAAAAATAAAATCTCGGAGAGCGCGGGCCCATGAAAAACCGAGCAAGAGAGAGAGAACTACGATCTGTAGAGATCTCGGATCTCGGGAGATTTATTTTTTCGGAGCGGCAAAGACGGGCGGCTGAATTATTGCGGTAGACAATGTAAATATCGCCAATAATTAACGGCATTATTGAATTTGCAATGCAATTGGTTAATTTTCTCAACGATTTCGGCCAATTTGTATGCAATATTTCGTTCACGCTTCCCGCTAAAAATAAAGATACATGTAAGATAGATGAAAAATCGAACGCATTTCAGGTGCCAAGAGGTGTGGGCGAACGGCCCACCTGCCCGTCGGTCAAAGGGGTGTGGCATGCTTGGCCACCCTCTAGAAACGTAATGCCCCCCCCCTAAAAACCCCCCTTAAATAACTTGTCAGAGTTTTGAAAAATTTTCAATTTTTCACCAAAAGAAATGTAGTGTGCCTTGTTGTTGTGGCTGGCGCTTGTGCACACGACACACAAGAAGCACATTCAAACACTCTCGTAAATGGAAAATCTGGGAAAATTCTCTTTCTTCCCACACTGCACTACACACGACACGTTCGCTAGCCGCCAATGGAGCATAAGTTGGTATTTCCATTGGATCGGATCTAAAACGATGATCTGCGTCTGGCATTTTTGCTTATCGCACCACCAGCGGTATTTTCGTATTTCCCATTATACGTCTTAATTGATCTCCAGCCCATACATTATCGTTATAGTATTAATATATGGAATTTATTTTCGCATTCCGTATTTTCTTGATTTGCCTTGCATTACAGCATTTGGCATACAGACATCATTGAAATGCCAATGGGCGAAAATGTTTACTGAAATGAGATGAACCAACAGGTGTGCCGGCAAATTAGAAAAATAATTCCAATTTGATGTAAGACAAAATTCAGAAATTGAGAAATACCATAAATAGAAAGGGTGCGTCTATTCGATGAAGTTCATTTTAGTTCCTAGAATTTTTGATTGTTATGTTCTGTTTCTTAGAGTCAATATTTATGGAAAAAAGTACAAGGCTTTCTTCCAACAGTCTTAAAGTTAAATAATCCTAATTTTTTGAAGAATACACTTTTGACGTTTGATGAATCCATCAACATTAATTTGTAGCTTTTAATAGAGCACTTACTCAGCGTGACCTCATCAGGTCCCAAATCAATTTCATCGTATTCGGGCGAATTTAAATATTTCACCCCAATTAATAACCAATGTTTATACAACAGCAAAACTAATTTCCATTAGACAAGTAGACGCGACACCTAAGGGCAGCCGGCCAAGGTAAATTGGCACTAAACAAGTACAAATGGTAGAATGTTCTAGTGACAGTTCAGTGGTAGAGAGTAATTAACAAGGCCCCTAAACGTCGTTCTAGGTCGCCCATCCAACCCAAGCGGGGATAAGAAAAACCCGTCAGATCGAAATGAATAATAAACAAAATCAACAACTCGTGAAATGTTCTGGCTAGAGGGCAGCAACCACAAAAAATATATGTATATTGTTTAAGAATCAAAATGTTGATGTAAACTGATTCACTGCTGTGATGGGGATTTATGGCTTTAATAATAATGTACCAGTGATGTGGGTTGCGAAATTTTAAGGGGGCTTGATAAATATAATATCAAGGGAATGTGCCCTATAACAAAAATCAAAATTAGAAAATACAATCTTTAGTTTATAACAACTTTTGTTGATCTTCTTGACTTTCTTAATGTAATGTAATGCAATGTTAACTGATTGGGGAATTTATGGCTTTAATAATAATGTACCAGTAATGTGGGTTACGAAATGTTATGGGGGTTTAATGAATTACAAATATCAAGGGAATATTTTTCATAACAAAAATCTAAATTACAAAATAAAATCGTTGGTGTATAACAATTTATGGTTGCTTAAACTTTTGTAGATCTTTTTTACTTCCTTAATGAAATGTAAAGCAATGTAAACTGACTGCTGTCATGGAGAATTTATGGCTTTAATAAATTTTGTAGATTATTTTGCCTTCCTTTATTTATGGTTTAACAAATCAGGGTTAAATCCAAAAACATTAAAATTAATAAAACACCATCTACCGAATGAAAAAAGGGAAAATAATAACGAAGAGATTAATAATGTTATTAAAATATAGCGTAAAGGTTCTCTAAATTAAAAAACATATCTCACATTTTCAGTTGTTAATATGTTCTTTAAAAAATATAGAAAAATTCTTTACTCCTTTACAAGTTTTCATTCCAATAAAAGTATATTTCCGGCCCAACTTCTGTGTGTGAACTCAGTTTCGCTGACCATGCTCCTTTCTATCATATACAGTATGATATATGTTCGTGCTTGGGCATATGCATATGCACATACTTATAGAATAATGCATCGCATGTGTATATTAGTTGTTGCTATTTTCGCCTCAGACACGAGCAACAACAACTGCAATGGAGCCGAGTGTAATGCAATCTGCGAGTTGGTCTAAAAATAAGCTGCATTTCGCGAATCTTTGATAAAAAGTTTTTGCGTGATGTGACTGTCCGCCCCTCCCTTGGCTCCTCATTACGATTATTTGGCATTTTTCACGCAGGCGTTAAAGCGTTAATTGGGTCATAAATTCAGACACTCACATATATAGAGAGGCGCGTATATTTTCCAGCGTATTTTTTATATTTTTTATTTCTGGTTTATTGAGCGAGTATCAAAAGCGAAACAGCAAAACTTTCTCAAGACAAGAGCCTATTTTGTGTAAATTAACCAATGGGGGTGTTGTCTATAAGTTCAAGTTTGAGAACAGCTGTGCCCCAAAAATATTTGATTTTAATTTGGCACATTTTAAATATGTCTTTAATTTGGCCGAGGCCAATCGAATGTTTTTTGGAAATTTATTGAAAAACACGCAAGTGCAAGCAACTGATTTTTGATGTATTTTGGGAACGCAAAACCAAATGTCTGGTCGTGTGGAAAAAGGTGTTTCATTTAACTGACACTAAATAAGAAAATTTCATTTACCAGCTGAACGCACAAAATTCAAGTGAATTTTAAAAAACATTATTTAAGCCAATTTTCCACCAGCAGTACAAGTACTATATAGAATATACACTTGTACTTTGGGGGAAAATATGAAAGAAAATATAACCGCAGGCTTTTAAGTGTGCCCCGCAAGAAAAATGAAATCATGTCAAAGACAAAACTATTGAATAAGACTTTTTGGCAGCGTTTTCGCCGTGTTCGCTTGGATGTGGCTCTAACGCAAGTTCGGGGAGATACATTTTTTTTTGCCGTACGGCTGCATTACGTAATGAGTTTTACAGAAATAAATTCCAAATGGCCCATTTCCCCAGTGCAAATGTGAAGAACAAAGCCAAGTGAGCTGCGTAAACAAATCACTCGAGTGACACACTTTCCTGTTGGCCTGTCATAAATATTTTGGGAATTTTTCATTTTCAATTTCCCCTTTTGCGGGCTGACAGTATTTGAGATAATTTGTTATCTCGACGAACCTTTGTCGCCTTTCACTGGCTGACTTTTAACTTAATTTGACTAAGGATACGACACATAGAACTTGACAGGGGCATTTTGCGCAAAGAAGATAATCTAGAAAAGTGCAAAAATATTATATTTCCCAAAACTGACAAAAACGAACAGATTTGAATGAATGAATTTCAGAAGCTGGATCATTTTCCCATAGACTAGCATACTTTCGGGATCGGAATACTGCATACTTTGCGGAAAACTAGAAAATAATTTGGAAATTAATCAAATGAAAGACTATCATTAGAATGTTTCTCGATTATTCTTAAAAGTTTAATAAATAAGACACATTAACTTTATAAAGATGTTCATTATTTTATAAATAGTTCCATCAATTTTTATATGGATAGAAGTAATAACTTTTTAAATTTTATATAAAAAAATGTATAAGTCTTAACGGCATTGTAGTATACATTTTGTATTAAATCCCATCAGATATTCCCGCATTTTACTAGACCAATTCGAGTCAAACATAAAGCCACTTAGCCCTGACCTTAGGCCCATTATTCAGACATAAGACCCGTGAAATCCCACTGTATGCTCTAAAGAAACTATATATAATTCGTGTGCATGACAGATTGTATTTGTTTCGCTTATAGTCGCAATGACAAGAGCATTAAAAATCGAGTAAATCTATATGGCGAGCATTTCCCATTGGGATTTATGTGTTGGCCCATCACCGAGCTCATTGGTATTAGCCGTATGTCAAACGATGACATCATGCGAATTTGCAAATTGGGCCACAGATATATTGTGTACAATTATATGGGCAATTGTGGGACGATTTATAGTATGGTCCCTCTTCCTTTGCGGTTGCACTTGGTAACCCATGGATGGATGACACCAGTGCTGCGGTATGAATGATCTCAATGCCCGAGTATTTTGGTAGCCTATGCAGAATTGGCACAAAGCGCAGATACGAAATTCGGTGGGGTGTATGACTATTTTTAGCAACCAGAGTATAAACGAAATGTTTTCTTCATTTATTCAGTTGGCTTTTATTCTCGGCATTTTTATAAAGACAAAATCGTTAAATAGACTAACAGCTATGGTAAACAATCCTTCAATCGTTCGGTACTTTTTGGGTGCAAAGTTTTCTGGGTCGTTAGTATAATACATGGTTTATACAGATCGGGATCGGGGATCCCGTGGGTGGGTGTTTACCCTCAGTCAGAGGAGCGGATGCTGGATGCTGGTTTCTGGACACTGGATCTTTAACTGGGACTGAATTCATGTGCAGCGTGCTCGGTTTTTGGATGTGGCTTGGACTGGATTGTGCTGGGCTGTGCTTGGCTTGACTTGGCTTATGAACATGTCTATAAGAAACAGATAGAGAGTAAATCAAATGAGTGATAGAGTGTGGGGTTAGAAGATTAGTTCTCAAACCAAGCGAGCTAGAAGAGTGGATAGAAGTTGGCATCTTTGAGTATGTCAAAGGTGTCCACAACGGATCGCGCGGGCACAACTGCAACTGAAGAAGGTTGAGTGGATTCTCCAATCTCCTCAATCGATGAGGCTGGGGTTATACACACACTTTGTCCAGCACTGATCGTAGACAATAGGTTCTGCTGTGTGGATTCTGGAGTCAAATTTGTGGACACCGAAACGGGAGCAATCTCCGCCAGAGCAGCAGCCAAGGCCTTATCTAGATGAGAATCTTCTGTAGCCTGCGGTTGGGTCTCCTCCCTAGCTTCCTCCTTGTTTTCTTTTGCTGAAGACTTCTTGCGTTTCTTAGTCTTCTTCTTTGTAGACTGCTCTTCGTCTGGCTCAAATTCGGCTATGCCCTCCAAAGATTCACCCACAAAGGCTAGACTGCCCCGCGGTGAGAAGAGTCCAGATCCTCCATTGGTTTCTTCGTTGATCAGGCTGCTTTTGGAGCTACGCCTGGAGCGTGTCTTTCTTTTTGGTGGTTCTGCAGTCTCCTGGTCCTCATTTCGCCGGGTGCAACCCATTTGAGTGTCCGAGTCATTATCATCCCTTAGTTCTTCTTCGGTTTTGGATCCCTTGCGTAGCTTCTTCTTACTCTTCTTTTTCTTGGGCTTCTCAGCGGGTGATTCTTCCAAGGGCGCCGCTTCTTCTGGCTGTTCTTCGGGTGGTTCTTCTTCTTGCGGAAGTTCTTCTGGCACGTCTGCTAAAATTTCGCGAACGGGACTGCGACTGAAGAGGGTGATACTTTCACCGCCAAGACTGATTCGCCGGTTCTCCAATAGTTCCCCATGTTCTATTTCACCGTTTTCTTCATTTAAAAACATTGTCTCATCATTTTCCTGATCACGAAGTTCTTCCTGTTCTTGTTCTTGCCAGCCGAATTCCTCCTCAAACTGATCTATGGCTTCCTGATCTTCATTTTCATCTGCTAAATCCTGGGCATTATTTTCCTGTTCGTCATTGTCATCTAGTTTGAAGTTCTTGCGCCAGTTGTACTCCCTCTTGGGCTTGTAGTTAAGATCCACCTCGATATCATCTTCCAGTTCACCCACATCTAGCTTAGGATTGAAACCATAACGAGTTCGCAACCTTGTAGATTGTCGGGCCGCCACATGAGCATCCCCCAAATAACGTATTTCAGACTCCCGATGATCGCTCTCTGGTATCAAACCCAGGGCAACATCCACATCCGAATGTCGGGTACTAGAATGGGATCGCTCAAGTTCCCTGGTCTTGGCCCACAGGGCGTATTTCTCACTCTCAGAACCCGACTTTTCCTTATCCGATTCGCTGTGATCCGAGGGCAATTGTTCCTGAACCATGGTCTCGTACTCCCTTAGGATACCTGACTGCTTTCTGTTCTTAATGGCATCATTGTAGATCTGTTCAATAAATGAGTCTGGATCGGAATAGGGTGTTGCTCCGCCCACAGCGCCATCATCAAAACCATAGTCAAGGAAATCCTCCACATCCTCAACCTCCTCCCAATCCTGAGCTCCCCGATTCTCATAGCGATCGGCATTCCTCTCCGCCTCCTCACACTCGGAGGTGTCATGATGGGATTCATCGGTGGGTTGGGTACGTTCATTATTATCCGAGATTCCCTCGTCCATCTCAAACTCGTACTCATCGTCGTCATCGATCTCCACCACTGTCTGTCGTGTGTCCTCGCTGTCATTGGAGCTACTCCTCTCCTGATCCAGGCCCTCGTGGTCCCCGACAATATCATAGCTGTAGATGGCATTGGTGGCATCGAACTCAGCTGCCTCCGCCTCTGCAGCCAAAACAGCTCTCGCCCAAGAGTCTTCATCCTTTACCGGACTTTTTGAATCACAAAAGTCCTCCGGTTCTTCGGTGTAAAAATCCTCTTTTAACCAAGTTCTGGTCCCAGTGAGAGTTCGGACTTCGATTTGGGAGATGTAGACAAAGTCATCGCTGGGGTACTCCTCAACGGGCTCTTCTTGGGCGAGTGAGTAGCGACGGAAGTGATGGTATTCATCAGGTTCTAGATCACCCATTAAAGCCGAGTCAGAAGCCCGTCGCTCGCTGTCTAGAAAATCGGCATTCAAGTGCCGTGAAAAGTTCTCGAAATTAATGGTCGAAGCGGCCCACTTATCTAGTAACTGATCCTGCATTTCCCTCTTAGCCGACTCAGCTTCGATGTCCCTCAACTGTGTCAGATCCTGTTCTCTCAGCGGAGAACGACTCTGGCTACGAGAACGTTGAAACTCAGCGGTACGATGACGTAAATCATCCAGCTGGGCGGCAGAGATTTCCTGGGACTCGCCAGTTCTCTCCTCGGAGAAGGTCTTGGGTTTGGCGCCCAAACGATTGTCGGTAAGGGAGTCTAGTATGGCTGCTTGGAGCTCCCTTTGGGCTGCCGCATGCTCTCGAGCTAGATCCATGCTCAATCCAGGAGATGGGCTTCGGGATCTTTGAAATTGAGCTGCTTCGCGACGATGCTCCTTAAATTGATCACTTCCCAGATCAAGGGACTCACCCACATAGGTGGAGCGTTTGAAACCGCTGGCCACGAGCTCATCCTGCAGATCCCTGGCCACCTCGGAGACCGTACGATCTAGATCTGGATTCTCTCGTGTCATCTCAACCAATCTTTCCAATTCCGAATTGGTTGGACTGAGCACGCGCAACTCTATTTCCTCATTGGCATTGTGTAGCTTCTCTAGGGCTTCCAGGTCCAATTCCCTCTGTTTCACACTCGCTGCCAGGACACTTTCTAGTTCCTCACTGTTTTTGCGTAGAGTGCGCAACTCACTGCCCTCCAGATTGAGCATCAAATGGAAGTCGTCGGGCTCCCCTTCTTGTGACTGGGATCTCGAGCGAGATGGTGACAAGGATCGCATGTCGCGACTTTCTGCAATGTGATCGTCCTTCTCCTGCACAAACTCATAGACGTACTCCACTGTTAAACGGGGTTCGGGCTCCGGGGTCCTCGCCCTCTCCTGTAGCACCTCGAAGAACTGGTCATTCTGGGCTATCAGCTTCTCGCGTCGCTTCTGCACACTCTGCTCCAAATTGGCGGCTGTGGGTAGTGGTGAACGTGATCGGGACCGAGAATGGGATCTCACTCGGTTTAGACGCAGTTGCTCAAAGAGTCTTGCCATGCTCTCCGGAGTATCCTCGGGTTCTGCCTCGGTTTGGACTGCACTTTCCTCTGGTGGTTCTACAATTTCAATGGTTACGGTGGGCATGGGAAGCGGAGACCTTGGAGGTGAAGCCGATTCAATTATAATCTCTGGTGATGGCATTTGTTCGTGAAGTTTCTCGAAGATCTCATCATTGTGTTGAATGCGCTTTATACGGCGACTTTCCAAGCTCTTAGCTATATTATCAGCTGTTGGCAGTGGAGAACGGGATCGTGAACGGGATCTTGATCTGGAGCGGTCATTCCTCTCAGCCCTCAAGGTCTCCACAAAGAGTCGCATTTGTTCTGGTGTAGTTTCGGCATCCTCCATGGGTTCATCGGCCATATCATTAATCTCTATCACGGGCTGGGGTAGAGTGATCTCTGGGCTTAGTCTACCATTACCATTAGCTTCGATTTCCATGGAACCCTCGGAACTAGATTGGGATAGACGTTCGGCAAGCTCATCGTTTTGTTTGATCAGTCGCTCCCTCCGTTTGTGGATGCTTTTCTCTAGGTTCTCCGAGGTGGGAAGTGGCGAACGGGATCGGGATCGGGGTCTGGATTGTCTGTCCACGGAAGGTTCCCTTCCCCTCTCTTCTAGAGAAGAACCAAGTGAAGCCCCTTCTAGGGGCTGATATACCATGGGTACCACGGAGTTCCCATTCCTAGCATCATCGGCTACAGTTTGCACTTGTAGCTGCTCATTCGAGGATTCGTTTCCATTCAAGTTCGATTCCAGGAGTTGAAGCACAGACTCACAGTTTAGTTCACCTGCCGCCACACCCTCCTGAGTATCGTCGAATACTTCTAGCGATCGCTCCTCGTCCACATTCATAAGATTAGCCACATTCTTGGGAGCTGGTGAGGGATTTCGCGAAGCAGAACGGGATCTTGAAGGATTGACTGAGGCGGTAAAGTCGTAGAAATCGCTGAGACCCTCCATAAGTAATCCGTACTGATCCCGCCAAGGTGCCGTATCCGGTTGCTGGACATTGATGGATGGTGCTGCTCGCTGCGGTTGCTGTTCTTGCTTTGGATGCTGCTCCTGACTGGCGGACCAGCGCTCTGGGTAGTGCTCCATTTCATCCATGCGCGGACTACGACGCAAGCCAGGTGAACCAACCCTTGATTGCTCCTCTGTTGCGGAAGAGGTTTGCAGCTTTTGGGGGAGGTAAAGCGGGAAAGCAATCGATAGCCATATATGAAAAGCAAAGAGGTAAAGCAGTTAGGGAAGTTAGTTAAGCGGCAGTGGGATCGGGTTTGGATTGGTTTTAGTGGGAGTTAGATGGTGCTAGGTGGCTGTCCTACGCACTTACATTGGCTTTGTTGCTGTCGCTGGTCTCCACCGCTTGCGAGTTGTCCTTCTCCGTTTCCTTGTCCTAACAGACACGTAATAAACCATTGGTTAAAGATCCTGGCCAGCTAGTTCCATTTACTCACCACCTGCTCCTTGGGAAGTTGCTGTTTCAGGGCAGCCACAGCCTGTTCGTTTTGTGCCTCAGTGGCCTCCTCAAAAGAGGAGGATTTGGGCTCATTTGTGGCTTCGTCCTCCACATCCTCTCCCCTGGAGGGTCTCTCCAGTTCGATATTCTCTTCGTCTATGGAGAGGGCTTTTTCCCGCTTCCAGAACTCGGTGTCCTTATAGTGCTCTGGTACCACCTCACCCCAGGGATTAGTGCTCTCCTCGCCGAGCATCTCCAGGGATCCACTAGTCTCTGCCGGGGATCTTATATCCTTTGCTGGACTTCTTTTATGACGTCGGTGGGATTTGACCTTCAGGGTGGGCTCACTCGAATACTTGATGGGATTGTAGTCTTCCCGCTCGCCATGACGTAGCTCCTCCTCCTCCAGCGATGTAAACATCTTCAGCTCCTCGTCGCGAGAGGCGCGTGAGTCTCGCGAAGAATTGGAGCTGCCACTGGAGCGTCGCTTCTTGAAGGCTCTTCTCCTGCCTGAACCATCTTCGCGGACCAAAGGACGATTCTTGATCCCATCCAGGGAACGAAGGTAGTCCTCGGTATACTGGACATCCTGTATCTGATCTTCACCCTCGGGTTCAGGACGTTCGCCCTCAGAGGGTTGAGTACTGAACGAAGACTGTTGGCTGGAGAAGGGTTCCACGGAGGAACCTTCATCGGAGACGCCTGGGAAGTTCAGGGTTTTCGACTTCACCAAGTAGCCATCTTCGGAACCGCTTCCTTGGCCAAATTGAGTTTTCACCTTCTGCACCATTAGCGGTTCTTCCGGTGGTTCCTGAAATCTGGGTGGCGCCACCCTTTTTACACACGGCTCCTCCACCACGGGCTCCATTCCGGCATACTCGTCTTCTTCCTCTTTGCTGTGGGCGGCTTGCAACTGGCGCTGTTGCAGCATGACCATCTCCTCCTCCGCCTCAAGGAAGCGTCGAGCATTCTCCTCGATCATCCGCTGCTTCTGCTCCAGATCTGTTCTGCTGGAGATGAGGCGACGCGACTGCTCTGCGATAGCGACATCTTCCTCCAGTTCGCTCTCGGTGGCGCTCATGCTGAGCTCCCTTTCCGCCGCCAGAAGACGATCTACAATCTCCGCATCGCGTTGGTCCTGTTCTTCCTCGTCAGCTTGGTCCCGCTCTCTTTGGATCTCGGCTTCAAAAACAAGACGCTCGGCTTCGGCTGCCTCGGCTTCAACGAGGAGCCTTGCTTGCTCGGCTATCTCCTTTTGGCGTTCGGCTTCGGCTTCAGCCTGCTCCCTCTGACGCTCTGCCTCGATGATTCTTCTTTCACTTTCTTCCCGCTCGCGCTGCTCTTCCGCCGCTTGCAGTCTTCGCTCCTTCTCTTCCCGTTCTCGTTCGGCCTCTATCAGCTTTCTTTCGTTCTCTAGGCGTTCCTTCTCTTCGATTTCGCGCTGTTTACGCTCGCTTTCTTCTGCTTCTAACTGCCTGCGCTCTGCCTCTCTTTGTTCTTGCAGTTCTTTCTCCGCCTGCTCTCTTTCGCGCTGTCTTTCGGCCTCTACGAGCTTCCGCTGCTGTTCCTCCGCTTCCTCTTTCTCTCTCTGGACCCGTAGTCTTTCTTCAGCCAGTTTGGCTTCGGCTTCGGCCAGCTGACGTCGCGTCTCCGCTTCGATTTGCTGTTGGCGAGCCAATTCTGCGGCCAGAACTTCTCTTTTCTCACCAGCAGGATCTACCCGGATTCCATTGCTATAGAGGACACCATCCTGCATGACATTGGTGCCAGCCTGGGCTTCCCTTTCGCCCGCCTCTTTGATCTCCTTCTCCAATCTCTCACGCAGACGAGGCAATTCTTCTGCATCAGCGGCTGCATCGGCAGAAGAATCCGAGGGATGCCGGAAGGACCAGTGGTAGAGATGACGGGCCACAAAGGCGAATTCCAGGGCGCCCAGGTAGCCTATTAGAAGCGAGAAAAGCAGCTCGCCGACGCCGGTTAGCGCCTCTTCCGCGGCCATTGCGTAATGCCCAAAATCGAATCCGAATCCGAATCCTCCAACGTTCGCCGATGCAATGAGAGTATATCGCGGCGAGAAACGATTCGGCTAACGCGTATTATATAAAATATATTCACCACGCACTCGAAACACTCACACCACTCACGTTAATGGCCAGTCGATTAGGTAATTCGAAAAATATTTATTTCACTATTCGCTCGCCAATCATTGGACCAATCATCGATATTTATTTATTTATTTATCTATCTACGTTTTTGAGAAGATTTATGAGAGCGCGTGTCACGGGGCGAGAAGAATCGGAAAATGGGCAATCGCCAGGCGGCTGCAGTTGCACGGGCGGGCTCTTGTTTTCCGCTAATCGATCGTCTTGCAACTGATTAATGCCCCGGCGGCGGCAAGTGCCCATGGGTCCCACGATTTCTAGAGAATTTCTAGGGGAGTGATTCAGCGGCGAGAGAACCGCCAAGAACCGAATCCGTTCAAATGGCAAACGGCGCTAATTGACGGCCAGCAAAAAGAGAGCCCAGCCAGCTGACAAGACGTCGGTGACTTTTGTCGCTGGCAATTTGGCAACACAAATGCCTTTGCCAGTGCCGCTGCTGCACTGCCTCTGTGTCAAATGCCAAAGCAATCGGAATCGGCCAAGGCGGATTTTCTAATCAGTTTAGTCGACACCCTAGTCACACCAAAGACCACCCCACCTGTCACTTCCCCTCTTCTCGGGGCGATCTATTTTGGTCTTCGCTTCGATTGCTGTTTTCCACAAAACACTTTTCGCCACTTTCTGCTTTGCTCGCAGTTTTCGTGCGGGAGAACAGTAAGCGACATGGCCATAAATCAGTTGGGGAAAGCCAATAGAAATTAGTTACTAGAAATTACATTACTTTGAAGGATTAAGCAATTTTCCCCTTTTATAGGCCCTGTATAAAAACAGAAATCCAAAGAATTTTCGATTGATCTTAGACGATTTCTTACGGAATAATTTTTAGAACATCATTTTGGCTGTCACGGCAAAAAACAGGCATTATAATAAGGAAAATACGAGTTAAACTAAAATCATAGCATACTTTTCTACACTTTTTAGGGTGGTACTAAAAACCTATAGATTTCCGTGGCACAATTTCAAAATGGTGTAGGAAAATTATTTTTAAAACCTAGTTTGCTCTACATGTACTCCCATTTCATTTAATGTAAATACTATTATATCTTTTTTCAAAACCTTTTTAAAAAAATTACGCATACGCCATGTTAACGCTTAATTTATGAATTCTTTTTTCATTATTAATTTAGATTTACAGTTTTTAGAGCCTGTAACCAACCAAATTAAGTACTTTCTAACTTAAGATATCTTATATTTGCGGATCCCTAACTCCTATATGAATGGCTCATACTGTTCTAGCCATTTGCAAATCTGTTTTTCTTTGGCATGGCCAGCGGCTGGGGCCAGGGTCGCCACGCCCCATTTCTCCGCCTCCGAGCGGATTGCACACAAATGTTTGCCATAAATTTCGACTTGGCACTGACACTAACATTGCCAGCAGCTTTCAGCCTACTCTTTCTCACCAATTTCTCTGCGATTCGATTCGATTCTCTTCTATGTTTTCTTTACATTATGCACCGCCAACAATAGCCACAATCAGTATAATAATTATTGTCAAGCGGCACATAATTGTGTTCTTGCCCCACATTATGGCCCAGCTATTTCTGAATTCATTTGTTTATTTTCATCAACTGATTGTCATTAGAGAATTGTGCCAAAAATACATAAATTTATATGAATATATGGGTCGTCTGGGTGCTGATTTATTTAGCTTTTCACAGCGAAAGCGAAAGTGTTTCTTTGTGATGGCTTGTGAAAATTATCAATGCAATGAATGAATTAAAATTAAAAAAAAATAAGGTAAACATTGGGAAAAAAATATTTTATAGAATTCCACATGAAAAAGCTTTGCTACTAAAATTCGGGATACTATTTTTAACTCTTTTCAATATTGCTTAAAGCTTTTTTTATTGGTTAATAAACACCTCAGATATACAAAAGAAATAAACAAAAATTGTTCACATATTTGGCAAAACTTTTAAATTTAAATATTATACTTGGGAAATTTTCAGATTTATTTGTTTTACTTTGGCCAGCTATTGATATGATATTCTCATCTCACAAATGTATTCAATCTAAATAAATGTTAATTTTAGATCACAAACAGATGAATATTTGAAAAGAAAATATTTTCCATTAGTTGCTTTTTAAGCTGCACCAATCTGCAGCCATAAAAACCCTATACCTTCAGTGATTTTTGCAATCTCTGACCTTAACCGATTGCCACAAATTTCCGGCTCACTCGCGATGAACTTCCGCTCGACGGATGACAACACGTCAACAGCCAATGCTGCCAATGAACTGCTTTCATTTCTTTGTTGCCATCGCCAACGCCGAGTCGCTGCATCGAGGAGCAGGAGCAGGAGCAGGAGCAAAAGCCGGAGGATGTCCCCGACTCCTCCGCGGTTCCAAAGTGAAGTTCAATGAAAATGCCATAACCTTTGGAAAGGGCGATAGCCGCACCTATGCAATAAACGAGAACTGCGTGTGGCGGACGATAAAAACCAGAGCCCGTGACAGCGAGCACTCACTCACACGGACACTCTCGATTTGGCAAACGACACACAGATATTATCTAAAGGATGCGCGCCCCAAAGTATGCCACACAAGAGTTTTCAATTAGGGATCGGATCAGGGGGTTATACATAGGTAGGTAGAAAGTTCTAGGAACTCACCTCATCACAGCCAGCGCAGCGGGGCTTCAGCATTTCCGCATAGTGGCGCTCGCAGTAGACCTTGTCGTCGTGGACACAGTAGGTGAGGTCCACCAGGAGCAGGTTGCAGGTGCTGCAGGTGAAGCACTTGGGGTGCCACATCACGCTCTCCACAAACTTGGGCGCCGCCACAACCAGCTCGCCGGCAGCTATCTCGTTATCACAGTGCGCACAATGCTCATCGTAGGGGGCATCCTTGATGTAGGCTATTCAACCGGAAGAAAATGCAAAACGCAATCAGTTAAGTCATTCTGGGCGGGGTCATCGTTGGGAAATTAAAGGTAAAGCCAGCCACAAACTTGGTTTAGACTAATTGCTAAAGTCTCAAGGGATAGCATATGATCTTGTAATATTTCTGGGAGATTTTGAATACTTCCTTTTATCTCTGATCTTTGATATTGATTAAATATTTTATAGGATATTCTAATTTTTAGTTGTGAATGAGTTTAGATTTACGGAAGCAACTCACCTATATCCAGTGCGATTTCGTTCCGCGCCGTCACAAAGTCCTCGAAGGAGGCCTCGTGCTGCACCTCCAGGTGCTTGCAGTGCTCCAGCGAGAGGTCCTGTTTGGGCAGCTGGTACGAGATCTGGCGCTCCCGACTGCAGGCTCCCTCGCTGCCCAACCGGGGCACCGCCTCATCGGGCAGCTGCTCGAAATAGCGGATGATCCGCGACGAGGCTCGCAGTCCGGGCGGAACCCACGTGAAGCCCAGATCCCTCGCCTCCACTCCGGAATCCGCCGGGGAAACCAGTTTGAAGCCGAGTCGCTCGTGGACGTTGGTCGTTTGTTGCTGGTATATGGCATGTGCCTCGCGAGGACATTTGCAGGATTGGCAGGTTTTCCTGGAAAATCAGAGGGGTTTGAAATAGTTGAGTATTTGAATTTGAACATAATAAATTGTTCTGGTAACATCCTTAAATCCCATAAAAATTAAATAATCATATAACTTTCTGCATAACTTTTTTATCCTTTTCATTACTTAGAATGATATACCGATGGTACTTCCTTAGAAAAAAAGAAATTCTAAAAAAATGTAATCAGAAAGATACATTTTCAAAACCATTAACTCTCTGTTTCAACTACCTAAAATGTTAGGTTTTTCAGAAATGGACTTTTCTAAAAACCTATTTGACTGTTTTTGTGTTGCTGACAGAATTATGATTAAAATCTCATTATTATTGTAAAGCGTATAAAATTCCACTGTGCGCAGCTTCGTTTCGCTGTGGCGAAAGTTCGTGTGGCGCCATCGGGCGGCAGCTTTGCGAACCCGGCGCAGCCTTACCTCACGATGAGATCGTATATTTCCTTCCTTTCGAACACCTTGCAGTAGATACTGAGCACGTTGAGGCAGGCGTAGTCCATGCCCGTCCAGGGGACATCTGAGGAGGCCAGTGCCGCCCACAGTGGGCACTCTGCGTGACGGTCCAGATCGAGCATTTTCACCATTTTACGCCACTTTTAACCGCACTTTGAACCAAGGGTTTTTGCCCCTTTATCCGCTTCTTTTTATTCCCTATTTCGGCAACTGTTTGTCTTAATGAACTTGGCTTTCATGGGCCCCTGTTGAAATATATTTTCTCATTGCCTGACTCGACACAATTTGTCGGTTCTTCTCTGGTGATTCGCTGTGCCACCTCCACGAAAATAAAAGAAACTCGCGGTTTAGCTTAAATCACCTTTCGTTCGGCACGTCGGTGCGCGTTATTTGCTCATTGACATTTTGATTAAAGTGCTAATTTGACCTCTGTTCCGATACGATTTGTGTACTATCCAAGAATTTAATTTTACCTTTGCGAGGAATTCTGCGGGCTGGGAATTTCTATAATTGCTTGTTTACTTATTTTTCAATTAGAGGTACAAGCAAAATAATCACAATCATAAATACGCCCACACCAGAAGAATTGTGCGTAAACGTTACGGGTACACAAAAAGATAAATTGCAGATTAGATTATGAATCAGATTTTTCATTGGGAAGTAGTATTATATCATGACAGCAATTTGTAGGAACTTGAAATCTCTCCGAAAGTTTTTATCATCATACCCATATTCAGAGAAATTAGTTCATGGTAAACATTTTTATTTCAACATAATTTCATAAAAATTTTCTTCTGAATTTAGAACAGTAGAAACTTTTGATGTACTTAATCGTAAATAATATTTTCCAAAGTACATCCCCTTAAACTTTAGCTTCTTTAATAACTTTAATAATTTTAAGAGATCGTGGAATTGAAATACCAATCACTTCTTTGAGTAAATCATAAATCGAAAGACAACTGAAATGAGGTCATGTTTATGACCTGCCCGTTTGGCTGACATTTAACGAAAATAAAAACGCCCCAAGCAATGAAATAAAATAAAAGGTAGAAAAGCATCTTTTGATAAGATTAATAAAGGTCTCCCCCCAGACAAACACACACACGCACTCCCCAATCCTGGGTAGGATTGGCCATCAGGGTATGTGATGTCATCAGGGGAGCTGAAAGCGAAAAACCCAAAACCGAAATTGCCAAATTCCATTTGCTCAATCATCGGCGGAGGCCAAACTGCGTTAGCGTTCAAAATAAGATAAGCCGATGTGAGTTCTTCCACCTAAATGCTATCAAATGGAAACAGGGGCTGGCGATTGTCCAAATGGTTATTTAGAACGCAGGGTATATGGTCTCAAAATG